AGCTCATTGCAGCAGTATCAGATTCCTCATTACAGCTTTAGAAACTAGGATTTATTGAGTTTAATTTGGTATCAAAGAATACTACCAAAAATGATCTTATGGGTTCCCTGAGCCCCGTGGGGAGGGATTTGATGGTAACATCCTGTTTAGGGCGGAGTCCTCAAAGGTCCTTTGTGTATATATTATAGTTTCCTGTTTGATATTTTTATGGGATTCCCAAGTGAGCAAACAAGTGGCTTTCTGCGTCTATGTCTGGTTCTGTGCCTTTTCTTGGGCTCACTTCCTTCTGCTTGTTTGTTTTGACCTTGTCTAACATGTTGCTTTGTTTTGTTTTATTTTGTTATCATCTCGTTTTTTAATGAGAGACAGAAATGGAGTGGATTTGGATGGGAGGGGAGGTGGAAAGGAAGGAGGAGGAAGGTGTGAGAACTGTACTCAGGATATGTTATGTGAGAAAAAAATCTGTTTTCAAAAATAGAAAAAAAATAGGAATTCAGCATATGAGTATGTTATAGTTCAGCGCGCAGAGGTACGTGTCTTCAAGCGCGAGCTGTGTGTGTGTGTGTGTGTGTGTGTGTGTGTCTGTCTGTCTGTCTGTCTGTCTGTCTGTCTGTCTGTCTGTCTGTCTGTCTGTCTGTCTGTCTGTCTGTCTGTCTGTCTGTCTGTCTGTGTGTACATGGCATATAGGCAGAAGAGTAACTGGAAAAACATTACCCTTGTCCCCAAACTTTTCTTGTTTTTAGCATGTTAATTGCCAATAACAAAACAAACCAGACCAATAAAAATCAGTGTTCAATTTTTTTTTAAAGTATCCCATTTACAGCCTGGTGCTTGATTTTCTTCATATGTTTTAACCACCACAGACAACACACACAGCAGAAGCAGGTAAGAGCATCAGCCTGTCTTCTACTAAGCTCAGATGTGGAAGAAATTTACAGAAATGAAAAGTCACGCCACTGTTCCTACTAAGTAATCTCTGTGTTAGAAAATGCATTCCATGCTAAATGTTACTGTTACTTTTAAGCAAATTAATAAAACTTAAATTTCTCATTTTTGTTTCTAATATTACAAATGCTGGGGCTAGAACCTAAGGTTTACGTTTGGTCATTGCCACCCTAGGCTACATAAATTCAGAGGACGGCCTCAATTGAATTCTAATTTGCTAATGTGTTTGATATGAATGTGTGGCCAGCTCTCCCATTAAAGATTGAAGTCTTTGTCATACAATTAAAGTCCCCTTGCCCATGGTCTGGCCATGCTGCTGCACTTTGCCTCTCAGTGTGTCCAGTGGCTGGGGACTGACGTCATCTCAGCTTTGTGATAAAGTGACTGCTCCTCTTTTTATCCCAATTCTCTACTTCAAGACATGTTCTGTGAATCCCTTCTCACTTCTCTGGATTAAAACCTCAATTTTTCCTTTTTATTAATTTTTATTTAAACTAAAAATAATCTTATTTTGCATACCAATCCCAGTTCCCTCTCCCTCCTGTCCTCACATTCCCCATCTAACTCCTATCCCCTCCCCAGGGAGAGTGAGCACTTGCATGGGAGATCATGAAAGTCTGTCACATCATTTGGGGCAGGACCTAGGCCCTCCCCCATGTGTCTAGGCTGAGAGAGGATCCCTCCATAGAGAATGGGCTCCCAAAGCTCATTTGTGCACTAGGGTTAAATACTGGTTCCACTGCCAGAGGCCCCCTAGACTGCCCAGGCCTCCCAACTGACACCCACATTCAGGGGGCCTGGTTTGGTCCTATGCTGGTTCCTCAGCTGTCAGACTGGGGTCCATGAGCTCCCACTTGCTCGGTCAGCTACACCTCAATTTGTTTCCTTATGTGTGTGTGCCTCTGGTCTAATCTCTCCTTCAGTTGCCCAGCGTCCCCTTTAGTTCTCTGGAATGAAGGAGCAAATGAGTTTCTGTATGTCGTTGATCCACTAGAAAGGAGTTGAACATTTCTGCCTGTATAGTTTAAAATCTCTGTGCAGGCTTCCATGATTTAATGCAATGAAGAAAAACACATACCCAGGGACACAGTGGGCACAGGCTCTTGTCTATCTGTGTGTTGTGGAGAAGCTAGGGCGTTTACATTCTCAGGGGGGAAGAGAGGTGAAAAATACCATTCCATGTTTGTAGCTGTGGGTTTTCTAACTGTGCGGCAGTGGCTTCGTCTCCCTTCATAGCTGCTGCATTGCTGCATGGTTTCTGCCCATGGAGCTTCATCGGTATGCAGATTTGGAAGCACACAGCCCCCTGGATCAAGGCCTTCAATCTTGTCACAGTTATTGTTCTAGGAATATGTCCAAAATTGCTACCAGGAATGTGTTTTACTTTTATGGTGACTTGTTCCTAAGGATAAGAACAACCAACCAACCATCCAAAAGGAAGAGATTTTTATTCAATAAATATCTATCACATTGAATTCTTGACAGGTCTGGAAGGGTGGAGTTTAGGAAGGGCCTCCAGAAGCAACCTCAAGGGTGTGGAGGAACGGACTGACCAAGGCCTTGGCAACACTTGGCTTAAAAAGGAAAATGAGGAACCGGGTGCTCATGGGATTCAGCAGGGTCCAGGGTTCAATATGCAGCCGTGGAACTGAGAAAGCAGAGAAATGTCATCCATAGACCAATATCAACCAAAGGAACCTCCCAAGTGGATGCTTCTTGTCTTGACTCAGTTCCAAATACAAGTTTCAGCCTGGTGTGGAGGCAGGAAGATCAGGAGTTCAAGACCAGCCTGGGCTACAAGAGACCCTGTTTCATAGTAAATAAGTAAATTCATGGATACATACATACATACATACATACATACATACATACATACATACACACACACACACACAATTTTTCTTACTGGTGTACCTGCTAAGCTGGCTATGCTGGTGAGGAGCGCCTGGGCAAACTGACTTTTCTTGTCAGCCTCTGTGACACACACAGTACACTAGAAGGCAGGGGAAGGAATGAGGTGGTCTCATCATCACCCTTGCCAGGATTCTGCACTGAGAGTTGATTTACTCCATCTTTTTCCTTTGTCATGCATTCCAGGCATTTTCTCCGGCACCTTCTCCATCTTATTTGAGTTTCTATGCTATCCAGGGAATGTTTTGCTTCTTACACTGATGTTTTTCCTTGCTTCATTTTTCACTCTGTTCTATTCTGCTCTTTGGTATCTTTTTCTTCTCACACAATATATTTTGATCATATTCTTTCCCCTCCCCCAACTCCTCCCAGATCCAACTTCATGTCATATTTCTCATAAAAAGAAAAAAAAGCACAAAAAGGGTAGAAAAACAACACCAAGACCAAAACTAAAACAAAAAGTAAAATCAAAACCAACTTAAAGAGGAAGAGAAATAGAGATTAACCTTTCAGAAAATCATCATGGCAAGGAATCTTTTTACCATTCTTAAACATTTGTTCATGGTTGATTTGCTTTGAGAAGTGTCTTACTCATAGGAATCCTTCTGCCTCTGACTGCAGAGTTCTGGGATTTCAGGTTTGCACTCCCAGGCTCAGACTTTCTGTGGTTCTTGTGGGCGTAACCAGTTGTGTTTTGCAGACAAACATGGAGGCTATGAAGCACAGCCACCGTAACTGGTTGGGAATGTGTCACGTAGGCACTGAAGGAATGCAGATGACTCCCATGCTGGTGCATTGGCTTACTCAGACTGACACCGTTAAAAGCCCCGCTTGACAAACATAAGCACAGTGATGGACTGCATGTTTCCCGAGCAACACATGCTTGGATGACAGACAACTCTGTTGTGTTAGGGACTTACTTATCTTTCAAGAATCAGTTTTTCATCTTGCTCTCCAAGCTCATAAAGCTGCTTAAAACTCTGACTTTTTACCTCTGACTAAGACTGGAATATGAAGGGTACCAAACTCAGAATCCATCCCGGTACTCTAGTCTGGATAACCTTAGGCCCAGAGACACAAGTTGACAGTTCATGTTGTTAAAACATAACAAAAGTTAAGGCCATGGGACAGACTGACAAGAATTAGAACTATCTAGACCAAAGATCAGAGCCATTGCCAAATCAAAGCACAGCAGACCCAGGGGGAGGACATACACCCTTATGTCTTGTCCCCACGCTCTTTGAACTCATTCTAGTGCTTTCTTCTGACAAACTCCAACCATCACAAGTCAGAATGCAAGGGAGTCCAGCCTCTGAGTCTCCAGAGGCCACTGCATAAGGGAGCTAGAAAATGGGCCTGAAAGGGTAGGCTGGGGTTAAGAAGCCTTTCAGTGGGATCATAGTTAGGATGCTGGCCCCAGCATCTGCTCACTATGGAGCAGATGGGACTCCTCTGCCATCTAATATGCTAATATTCTAGTGCCCTTCTAGGTTTGTATCCAGTTGTTTTTCAACCACATATGATGGCACAATGTGGTGCAGGCCTTATATAGCATGGCTGTTACTTTTATTTTTTTTTATATTTTTAATTGTCATCATTTTGTCTTTTTGCTAAAATTTGTCCTGAATTCCATGTCCTGACTAATTGTTTTGTTTGTCTGTTGGTTTGGTAGGTGGGCTTTTCGCTTTGAGACAAGGTATTTCTAAGTCACCTTAGCTGACCCGGAACAATCTATTTAGAACCAAACTGGCTGAAGTGCACTGGCCACCATGCCTGGCTGAATAGTTCATTTTAATCAAGGATTCCTTCTTTGGACTTACATTTTAATATCCCAGTCACATGCTCTCCTTGGGTACTGGGGTGGTTTTCAGCATTTTGTCTGTCTGAATTGCCAACTCTATCATCTGCTTCCTGAAGCTGATGCTCCAAGCTCCTGTGGTCACTTTCTGCATCAATATAAATAAACATCTAGGGTCTTTCCCCCATTCTTTCTCATTCTCTACTTCTCTCATTCTGGTTCCTTCATGATGGCTTGTCTCGACTGTTTGCTATTTCCTTACAATGTTATCAGTTAAATGCTGTGTGTGTGTGTGTGTGTGTGTGTGTGTGTGTGTGTGTTTGGGAGGAGGCAAGATGTGTTTAAGATGGACTTACAGGTTAGTAGATGAAGTAAAAATCAGGGTCGGATTCCTAATTTCCAGGCCTATTTGTGTATCCCTTGGAGAAGATGACATAGTTTCTACCAGTTATGTGATGCTAAGTATTGCCTCATTTTTTTTTCTTCACTCAGATTCGAAGCCAGAGCAAAGCATCGGGCTCTGGCCTGTGTGAGGGGGATGAAGTGGTGTCTATCAATGGCAACCCTTGTGCAGACCTTACCTACCCAGAAGTCATCAAGCTCATGGAGAGCATAACGGACTCTCTCCACTTGCTTATTAAAAGGTAAAGCAAATTGGCTGAATGAGGTATTTGTTTCTTGAAGCTAAGTGGGAATGACTATAGAGTCTATGATCATAGGTACTATGAGTTATGAGGGAGTTCATGGTACTGTACAGAAAGTCAGGACAGCTAAACAGAACACCACAGTGTTTGAGAACAAGCAATTCTATTCGAAGGGGCTTTCTGGCTAGTTGAGACTTAACTTGAAATTATTTAGGTCAAACACTTTGTCGGAAATCTTAGGTATTTTAGGCCACCTTTTTAGAAAGATCATTGTACTAATCCTAAAAATACCATTTTCAAGGTGAAGAGGTCAGGATTATAATTCCTAGATTTGAAGATGAATTGAAAATGATTGTGCATTGAACTATTGACCAATACAATAACTTTTTATAAAAAGATGATGCCTTGGGGGTGGGGAACAAAAAGCTTAAAAGTAGATTTTCACTTCTCAGGACTTACAATAAAACCATATTTGGGTATGGAGGAGCAGGCTAGATAAAGATTTGGTGCTGTCAAAGTGTTATTTACAGTGTAGAAGAAACACCCCCTACACACCGTCATATGATATATAAATCTGTGTGTGTGAGCAGTGCATATATGAATACAGGCCTATTGTATGTAAATATTTCCTCATCAAGCTCTTAGGATCCCACTTACTTATAATGTTGCCTATTGCTTTTCAAAGTAACCAATGAAAAAGTAACTATTTAAAAAACAAAAATTAGCAGAAACAATTCAAACAATGTATCAGGCTGCCAAGGGAGCATTGTTCCTGCATTTGCCCCATTCTGAGTAAGTCTGCTAAATGTTTGAGGGCTTCCAGCTTCCCCATCTGCAGAGTCTACATACAAATAGGAGTCAATCTTTTTTACTTTATTCCCCCTTTGTGCCTTTACTGACTTAAGGAGGCCAGTTTCTCTGGAACACACTAGTCTGGGACATGTTCTACTGGTTCCTGTTTCCATTATGATGTTATCACATAAGAAAACATTTGTTTCAAAGCTCAACCTTAGGCACCTAACTCGTTTCAGAAATTAATGCATTTGTTCTCTGCTGCTCTGAATAGCTAGGCTCATGTTTGGTTTTGTTTTTCTCTTAAGTATTTTGAATTTCTAAGAGACAGTTAATTGGACTGGAGAGTTGGAACAATGCCTAAGGCCACTTGCTCTTGCATAGGACATGGATTGATTCCCAGCACCCACATGGTGGCTCAAAACTGTAACTCCAGTCCCAGGGGATCAGATGCCCTCTTCTGGCCTTCAAGGGCACCAGGCATAATAAATGAAGTATACATATATCCATGCAAACAAAACACTTGTGCACATAAAATAATAAAATAAATCAGCCAACATTTTAAGAAAGAAATAGTTAATTGATGGAAATCAAATGAAACTCCCAAAGCAACAGCAGTGTGGACATCTGAACATGTCCCTGAGGCTAAGCAGTCCTCAGTAGTCATAGCACTGTTAGAGTTTGGCTTTATTACCCAGAGATGACTGGCTAACTCTATTAAGAACAAAACAAAAGCCAGCCTTTTAATACTGAATCTTTATTACCTTAGATGTTACAAAAATCATAAAAAAAATCAAGAGCAAATGATTTTCTAATTGTACAAATGGTGAGATTGAATACCTGTGTGTATATATTTCCCTCTCTTTAAATTTCCCTCTTATTCTTTATGATTTTTTATTCATGTGTATAAATTTCACTTAAATTAACAAGAAATATTAGCACTGGCCTGTTTGCCTGTATCCCGATCTATACGGCAAGAATGAACTGAGACTGTTCTCTTCTCAGATGCATAACTGATGCATAAATAGTTCAAAGTGATTTCAGCTACCTTTATCCATTCTGCCAGATTAAACCGCTCTAAGTTTGGCACTCTGGGATGCAGTTGCATAGAGATGGTCATCATTTCCTACATGAGAATGAACTGCCGGTACTGCTAGCTCAAGCTTACATTCTCAACTCTCAGGAGGCTGAGACAGGAGGATCTTCATGATTTGAAGCCTAGGCTATGGAGTGAATTCCAGGCCAGTGTGGTCTACACTGTAAAAACCCTGTCTCAAAAAGTGAATAGTCTAATCTGCTGACAACATGTTTCAAAAAGTGTAGTTTTGGTTGGCTCGTTTTGTTTTGTTTGTGGCAGGGTTTCTCCCTGTAGTCTGGCTGTCCTGAAACTCACACTGTAGATCAGGCTGACCTCTCACTCAGAGATCCACCTGCCTCTGCCTCCCAAGAGAATAATCCCACAGGAGTTAAAGGCCTGTGCCACCACCACCAACTAGCTTATATTTATGTTATTTTGTTTTGTTTCTATAATTTTTAAATAGTATACCATTTTGAAGCTTTTCAGATGGCTTGCATAGAGAAAGCAACAATTGGTTTTATTTTTTTAAAGATTTATTTATTTATTATGCACACAGTGTTCTGCCTGTATGTATGTCTGCAGGCCGCAAGAGCCCACCAGATTTCACTACAGATGGTTGTGAGCCACCATGTGGTTTCTAGGAATTGAACTCAGGACCTTTGGAAGAGCAGGCAGTGCTCTTAACCACTGAGCCATCTCTCCAGCCCAAATTGGTTTGATTTTTGTTGTTTTTTTCTAAATGTAGTCAAAATCACAGTTAGAGGTAAACATTTTGTACATTGGCCTGAAATTCCACTTACACACAATTGCAGAGTAAATTCCTTTGAGTAAAAGAGAAGTAGCCACCCCTTGTGTGGATGATCCCTGCACTAGTCAGGATCCATTCCCAGGAAACAAGAAGGGGGAGAGAGAGAGCTACTGCTGCTTGAAAACTCCACAAGTATGAGAAATGAAAGCATCTCCCACAGCTGTTTTGTGAATGACACTTCTCTTATAAACGGGCCTAGAGCTTGGAGATTTGGAAAGAAGTTGTTTGACTCCTGAAATGCCATTGCTTCTCACAAATACATATGCAAACTTGACTGTGAATGGATAAGTTTGCATAAGAGGAGAATCAGTGTGAGGACAGAGATTCTACAAGGAAAATTCTGGAAGGGACAAGTGCAAATAGAAACATTATAAATACCTTATGACTTAGCAATTTGTTGCAGCATAGAAAGGATTGCTTTTTACATAGGAGATCTGGGCTGGGGTCTACTATGCTCACTAGAGCTTAGAAATGGATTTCCATTTCATCCTTTCAAACATATACCATGGATAAAAATTATTCATGGTTTAAGGTTGATCTGAAGCTCTGGATGTGTCTCTGTGACTTGATTATGTCTAGGCCAAAGCTTACTCCACAAGGCACTGAAGGTCCTGGTCACCTACAGCAAAAATAGTTCGTTGAGAAAACCCAAACATTTTCAAATAAGGGGCACACACATAGCTATACTCTGTGCTTTTTACAAATAAAGGCTGAATTAAAGATGGGTTTGGATTTCAATTTTTTGTAAGTATTTTTCTTGTTCTTGAAAGACAATTTTATCTTGATGACCTTTAGTGGTCATGAGGATATGCTGTCAAGTTCTATTTTCTAATATAGTGGAGTTATTGGGGGATTTTTATTGAACCGTGCATGAGACATCATAAATGTTGGGAAACCCTTTGGGAGGGGGGACACAGCTGACTTAACTGTTTGGATTTCTTTTTTTGTATGCAGACCATGTAGTGGCACAAGTGAGACTTTGGGCTCTGAAACAGAAAATGTAAACCATCAAGATCTTCCACATGAGGGGCCCATGGAAACTACCACGCTGCAGATTCTTCCAGCCACAAAGACCCAGAGCAAAGACCTCTTTCTTGCTCCAGTCCAAAGTAGAGTTCCCCTAACCAAGGACCAAGGAAATGATTGGGGTTATGCGGAATGTACAACAGGAGAGAAAATTCCCCAGATGCTTGGCTCCCAAGAACAACACTTGGTAGAAGAGGTCATCCTAAGGGAAAAGACAGAAGCAGGCCAGCCAGGTCGTGTGGTTGAGCTACAGCTGTCCCTCTCAAAGGACAGACATCAATACACTAGTGGCCCTATAGTAGCTCTCCAGGGAAATGAAAAATCCGAGTCTCCTGACCCAGACCGGAGTTCACAACACGAAAGGATTGTCCACATAAATTCGATCTCTGCTCCTGGGGAAGCAGGCACTTCTCAGCCGTCCAGCACAACAATCCAGACCTCCAGTGGCCGGGAGTTGAGAGTGATCCAAGGAAGAGAAGCAGGAGGCACAGGGCTACCCCAGGTGGAAGTGATTCTTGAGTGCTCTGACAGGCAGAAGGCAGAAGAGTGCAGGCTGCAGGCAGGAAAGGGGTGTGTGGCTTCTGGGGTGGAAGGAGGGCGGTCAGAAGCACCTCCTTCTCTGGTCTCCTTTGCGGTCTCACCAGAAGGCACCGAGCACGGGGAAGACCAGCGCTCAGAGAAGGATCACAGCAGACCACACAAGCACAGGGCACGACATGCTCGTAAGTCCTGCTGTGGGTGGGGGCCGCTGGGGGTTGCTGGCTGGGGAGCTGGCATTTTACAGTATTTTGCTAGTTGGACTGCATGAATTTTTTTTAAAAAAAAGATTCTTCTCATATCTTTCTACTGTCTTTAATGTTTTAATTAATGCATAAAATATCAAATATAAATAGTTTGGAGCATATCAGTTTCAGAATTGGAAGCAGTAATTTTCAACTTCATATTAGACTGAAATGTCTTTCATAAGCTTCATTTTATCCCCAAAGATGCAGGAACTGTTAAAGAAATATGAAATATTCCTCTTTTATTTGTTGAAGCATGTTATGACATTTCGTGTTAAAATACTCTGAAGCGTATTGGAAGTTAAGTGGACTAAGTTTAAATGACAAAAACAGTTCCTCCTTTTTCCAAAGTGCCTTTAACGCAGGCTCCACACTGATATTAAAAGTGGAGTTTCATTTTTGACAAAAAGAAAAGGAAAAAGAAAAAGGCATTCTGCGGCTTGATGATGCTTGCAGAAGTGTTTGATGGACAAGGGCATGTGTGATGCCCAGTGGTTACATGATCCTTGCCGGGGTGTAAGCCTCACTAGGTGGCAGTGCTTCACTTCCAGGCTTGGTCTCCAGGGCCATGCACAGGCAGCTCTGTGTTCCCCCACCAAAAATGGGGCTTAATGCAAGGCCTCTGCTGGCATTTTGTTTTATCTGGGTTATTAAGGTCACAAATAGAATGAGGTCAAGAATTGCAGTTAAGTGTTACTATATTTTCTTTCCTATACATAGTTCTTTTTCTTAAGTTTACTAGCTTTGGGTTTACCTGGAGGATGCAAAGGCTGACTGTACACAATAGCAATGAGCTTGGTTACCCAAAGTCATACATCAGCTTGGTAGCCCTTGTTGTTCCTTTGGGTGCATATTTTTAGCACAGCCATTTGTAGCTCTGTTGGCAAGTGCCGGTAGCCGCGCCTTATCCCTTAGGCACCCTCACATATATAGCATATCAACCCTGAGTGCTATGACAGCATGCACATAGTCCACATGTTGGCAGAGAAAAGACAACTGGGCAGTTGTTACTGTCAGTTTAATAACAAGCTGTAATATCACTAGTCATATTTAATAATGGCCAGATTTTCAACTATTTTGTCTGCACAATATTTGATCACCAGAAAAATATCTGTAAGGTTACTCTAAAATTATTTTCTCTTGTTCTATTTTTTTTATTAACCGAGTCTAACTTTTAACAACAAAGATGGTTTCCATCATGAAATATCTTATTTTTCTGACATCTTCAGTTAACTCAAGATATTATAAAGTGTATTTGTAGATCATACTCATTAAAGGTAGCTTTAATTAATTGATGCTATAAATTCATTTTCCATTAGCTCTTTATAACAATAAAATGAAAATATAAAATTTGTCTTTTTAAAACTGTCACATTTTTTTTAAATAGCATGATTGCTGCATCAGTTTCAGTGTTAGTTTGAAAGGCTTCAAGTCTGATAATCTTTAGACTTCCCAAGGTTTACACTTATTCCTTCTGCAACTAAAGCAAGGTTGTATTTATAAGAGCTGTTGTTACATTTTCAGAATTGTGTAGCTAGTGCTGAACCTAGAGTTTATGATAGGTCTTCATAATGTACTAATACTCTGAAAAACAATTATTAACTCAATGCTGTCAATTATTAATTCACTTTTGTGAATTCATATTAATTCAATAGCTCAATGGAAAGATTTGAGGTGGTTGTCAGAGTGAAAATGAAACAAGTATTTAAAGGCAATACATTGAAGCATTCCATTTTAACATTTTGCCTTTAGATATGGCAGTACAAACTGCATCTTGTTTTCAAAACGTATTACATTCCTAAAGTATATTCTTTTTAATACAACCATAGCCTATTAACGGGCACTTCCCAACCTATTTTTTTTTAAAGTTTCATACTTTAATTTATGTAAGTCAACATACATAAAGCTGTGTTTAGGTGAGTATATGGAACAAGACGTTGAATTGGGGTATACATTACTACTATTTAAGTGCAAATTTGAAAAGAAATGAAAAGTGGTGTGGTTCAGTGCTTGATCATATGCACTCCCAGAGCACAGAGGGTGGGGGCAGAATGAATGAAAAATACACGAGTTAGATTCCTTCAAATGTCAGCACCCAATTATAAGAATTTTTACATTCATTAATTTTCCCCGTTGAGAGTCAATTTCTGTGCCTTGTTCTTTGCATTCATCAATTCAATACAATCTGTGTTCTTTCCCTAGGGCTCAGGAGGAGTGAGAGTCTGTCTGAAAAACAAGTGAAAGAAGCTAAGTCTAAATGCAAAAGCATCGCTCTCCTTCTAACGGATGCTCCCAACCCCAACTCCAAGGGGGTGTTGATGTTTAAGAAGCGGAGGCGGAGGGCCCGGAAGTACACCCTAGTCAGTTACGGTACTGGCGAGCTTGAACGAGAGGAGGAGGCGGAGGACCAGGAAGAAGGTGAGAAGGACGAGATAAGTGAAGTCGCATTTCTTGGAACGAGCGAGTCAGAAGTGGATGAGGAGTTACTGTCCGACATTGACGACAACGCACAAGTTGTGAACTTTGATTGGGATTCTGGACTGGTGGACATTGAAAAGAAACTGAACCGAGGGGACAAGATGGAGATGCTGCCAGACACCACAGGCAAGGGAGCGCTCATGTTTGCTAAGAGGAGAGAGAGGATGGAACAGTTCACAGCCCAAAATGAAGAGGAGAAAACGGGTGCCGTGCCAGGCAGAGGACCACCAGATGGGCTGCAGACGGATACTCTGAGAACCGTGACTTCTTATCAAAGGCAGGAAGAGGAATCAGTGAGAATGCAGAGCTCTGTGAGTGAAAGCTCCATCCAGATGGGGCATAGTCTTGGCAACATGCCACAACAGAATGGCTTCAGTGGAGTGGCTGAGACAGCAGGGGCCCAGAGGGTGATCCCTATGAATAGAACCGCCAAGCCCTTCCTGGGAACTTTGAACCAGACAGCAGCCCCCTTCTCCCCAACGCGGAGTGTGACAAGTCCCATCTCCGACTTCCCTGCTCCGCCACCTTACTCCGCCGTCTCACCTCCACCTGAAGCCTTCTCCAGAGGGGTCTCAAGTCCAATCACTGGCCCCGCACAGCCCCCTCCATGGCCCCAGCCTGCTCCATGGTCACAACCAGCCTTCTATGATTCATCTGAGCAAATAGCTTCCCGAGATGAGAGGATCGCAGTGCCAGCGAAAAGAACGGGAATACTGCAGGAAGCCAAAAGACGAGGCACAACAAAACCCATGTTTACGTTTAAAGAAACCAAAGTGAGCCCCAACCCTGAGCTCCTGTCACTTCTTCAAAATACAGAAGGTAAGCGAGGCACTGGAGCTGGAGGGGATTCTGGGCCTGAAGAAGACTACCTCAGCTTAGGCGCAGAGGCTTGTAACTTCATGCAAAGTTCTGCCAAACAGAAGACCCCACCTCCCGTTGCTCCAAAGCCTGCGGTCAAGTCCTCCTCCTCCCAACCAGTAACCCCAGTTTCTCCAGTCTGGTCTCCAGGAGTGGCCCCAGCCCAGCGCCCTGCCTTCTCTACACCCAGTCTACCGAACCCACCGCAGGTCACAGCTGTGTCGTCCATCAAAATAGCTCAGCCTTCCTGCCCTCCTGGCCGGCCTGCGAGCGCACTGAACCTGGCTGGTCCCTTCAAAGGGCCCCAAGCAGCAGTAGTCAGTCATAACTACACACCCAAGCTATCAGCACCCACACAAGTGAATGCGGCTCCTGCTGGTGCCGGAGGACCATCCAATGAGCTTCCTGGAATGAGTGGGAAAGGAGCCCAGCTCTTCGCTAAAAGGCAGTCTAGGATGGAGAAGTACGTGGTGGATTCCGACACAGTCCAGGCCCACACAGCTCGGGCCCAGTCTCCCACTCCATCCCTGCCCGCCAGTTGGAAGTACTCCTCTAATGTTCGAGCACCCCCTCCTGTGGCCTACAATCCTATCCATTCCCCCTCATACCCACTGGCTGCTATCAAGTCTCAGCCACCGGCTGCGCAGGCTTCCAAAACGAGCAAGAAAAAGGGCAAGAAGCCTCTTAACACATTGGATGTCATGAAGCACCAACCGTATCAGCTCAACTCATCTTTGTTTACCTTTCAACCTCCCGATTCGAAGGATGGCCTCCCTCAAAAGTCAACGGTCAAGGTCAGTTCAGCCCTGGCCATGAAGCAAGCCCTTCCTCCCCGACAGGTGAATGTTGGCTCTCCCACCAATGCGCAGGCTTCGTCTGTGTACTCGGTACCGGCCTATACCTCTCAGCCCTCCTTCTTCGCCGAGGCCACCTCACCTGTCAGTGCATCCCCAGTGCCTGTGAGTGTTCCCAGCTCTCCAAAGCAAGAATCAGCTTCCTCGTCGTATTTTGTGGCACCAAGGCCGAAGTTCTCAGCCAAGAAAAGTGGTGTCACAGTACAGGTGTGGAAACCATCTGTCGTGGAAGAGTGATCTCGTAGCTGAAGCTGAGTGTCCACTTTGCTTGAAATGAATCGTTTGCAGTGTTGAGTCCCCAAGAATGCTTAGCCAATCTTCAGCTTGCTTAATTAATTTCAGAAAAGTTACCTCCCAACCTGGGTCCAAGAAACATAATATTATGTTTTTGGGTCAAAACCCCAACTCAGTTTGACTTAAAAAATATTTATTTTCTTTGCACACATAAAACTATCTGTGATATCCCTAAATAGGCATGTGCCATTACATCAAGTAAGCAGGATACTTAGGATTTAGGCTTTAGCCCACAGGACAGTGATGAGGATAACCAAGCTTGGAGGCACAGCCCTTCCGTAACATTGCTGTGTTCCCGGAGTGAAGGGGCTCAAATGGGGTGAAAATATAACATGATGACTGAGATTCCCTTCAAGTCACTCTTTAGTTCTATTTCTGCTATTAAAGAAGTAGGAAATCTCTGGAGGACAGGATCAGCTCTGCCCAGTCACCTCAGACGCCTGTTTGCCGTCACAGAGAAGGGACTCTGACTTGTTGGGATTTGTGTAACTTAGCAATAGGTTGTAAGGAGGGCCTTAGAGGCAGAGCGCTTACCCTGTATTGGGCCCTTGTCTAGATGTTCTCACACACATTGACTCATTTCGGAAGATATACATGAAGTAATTAGGATAGGGAGAGAATTCTCTTTATCCTCAGATGTGGATTTCCATGGTCCCACCCCAGTTCCTTAAGGAACTGTTGAGTGTCTCTCCCATTGCCAGTGAAAGCACTTGTTTGTTTTCCTGAGCTGAGGCAAAGGGTAGCACAATAGAATGACATAACATCAAAAGGAGGATGGGCATGAAGTCACGCTTGGCTATTGGTTTACTTTGAGAAGCCACATAATTGGGACTGGAGGGGTTACTGACCACAGGAGCTGGTGCATGGAGACAAAACAAGAACCGTTGGGAGCCTGTCTGGGTGACATCACAGATTTTCTTCTCCTGTTCAATTTGCTCTTTGGCATGTGCTTCCTCCACTGTCCCTTGCAATTCTATTCTTGTACCTTTATTTTCTTATTTATATTTGATGAGCCAGCATAGTTTGAACAAGGTTACCTTGTAAAGTTGGATTGCTTGCACACCATGTTGTCATCCAGCTGGATAGGAGGTTAATAATGGCACTGATCGCAAACCTGAAGACCTTTCTCATATCTATTTTAAGTCCGAGTGCAACCAACCATGGAAAATAGTCAACATGGGTTAATGTAGAGGAGTGCAAAGCAGTTATGACAGCTCCAGGGGAAACCCTCTGCTTTGTGGAGGAGACAGATGTGCCGAGAGATTTCATGATTTTCCCGGTTTGAGAGGACACAGTAAGACTTCAGTCTCAAGATACCTGTATTCCTGTCTGCTGCTGTCGCTGCCATTCTGCTGTATTCTACAATCCTATTAAAATACTTCCTTCTTTATCTGTCCACTGTATGTATTCCTTCAAGGCTTCGTGTACGACTTTGCTCTGATCTTAATCGTTTCTCTAATGTTTCTCTTATAGCATCCGAATTTCCCTTTGGAAGGCATCCTTTCCTTTGGGGGTCATCCATTGTAAAACTGTCAGTCATAGGTACTTCCAAAACATAGGGAGCAGTGGGTCAGGGACAGAGCGGTGGGGCTCACCATCCTGCTTCACTCTAGACAACCTCCTGTTGCATTTGGTGATGCAACTATATGGAGTGATTTGGTCTCTGTTTGCTTTTATGGGAATTAATCAGGAAGATTCGTCGTTTGTTAAATGCCATGGGTTTTTTGTTTGTTTGTTTGTTTTTGGTACTGTTTTTCCACTATGGAACAACCAAAAATCCTTTCTTCATATGAAATGGGAAGAGGTCATTTTGATAGCTTAGCTTTTTATTTTGTTTTTGCCTTTTTGAGACAGAATTTCTCTATGTAGACCTGGCTGTCCTAGAACTTACTGTGTAGACCAGACTGGCCTTCAACTTAGAAACCCACCAACCTTTTTTGAGACAGAATTTCTCTATGTAGACCTGGCTGTCCTAGAACTTACTCTGTAGACCAGACTGGCCTTCAACTTAGAAACCCACCAACCTCTGCCTTCTGCCTGCTAGGATTAAAAGTGTTCACCACCCTGTGTGGCATAACTTTGCATTTTTAACATAGCATGAGTTAGAAGAAAAGGTATAGAGCTGCCCCATGAATAACAGGAAGTTAATTTGAAATCAATGGTCTGAAAGTGCTCTGGCTAGTTGTAACCCAAAAGTATCCACAGTTATGCAGTGGTTTGTGGTGTGCAGTGTCCTTGAGGAGTGGCCTTGCTGTTTCCTATTGACCGGTGGTCTTGGCAGAGCCACCGTTTACACTTCATAACTGAAGACACAGCTAACATGGCTACGTTGTCTTATCTGGAGATTGCTTGCAGGTTTAGAAACCCCTCTAAGAAACATGCCAAGCATACAGACTCAGTATCTGCAGTTTTTAATGGATGGTAGCAGAGACCTCATTCAGTACCACAAGGTCCCTGAGTGGAAATTTGGTTGAACTCTCCAAAGACCAGTATGAGAAGGAGACCAAGCCAACTTCCTGAGGAAGATGGGCTTCCCCCTTTTCTCCCTCCTCCAAGGAGCCATGTGTGCTCTGCTGTGGCAGGGTTGTCAGTGTGGCAGGTATGAGATTAGAACTTTGGCATCTAACCACTGCTGCACCAACTTTTAAATCTGAGTCCTGGCTTTGCTTAGGTGGAGGTTGTTGGTGGGATCAGCTGGTTGGCTGGGTGGGGAATCTGGAAAAGCACTTTCCCGTTTTTCTTTTCTTTTTGTTTTTTGTTGGTTGGTTTTTGTTTTGTTTTGCTTGTTCCTTGTCCCTTCATGATGTCAGTTTTTGTCGTCAACAACAGCAATAGTGGATCCCTGGGTGTGCCTTGTATTGGGTGTCTGAAGAACAGTGGCCAGATGGATCCATTGTAGGCTCTATTCATGGAGGTAATCTCAGCCACTGACTGGCTGAGAGTATGCTAAATTCCCCTTCTGAGAGCTTACACTTTATAATGCCTCAAGCCCCTCTTCCCAGGAGGAACATGGTGCTGTGGAAAGTGAATTCATGTGTGAAATGGAAGATCCTAGGAGGAAAGCAGGTATTATGCAAATACAAGCTCAGCATTCCCCCACCTCTGGAGGAAGTGCATTGACACCTTAGCCTAAGAGCACTCACTAACCTATCTTTAATACTTCCATAATAGTCGTGTTCTGGGAAAGGATAAGACACAGTGCATGTATTTAGACTATTTAGTGTCACGGTTTTATAGCTATATTTTAAAATGCACATTTGGCCAATCGTCCTAGAACTCGTAAAATGGCACTATCTACAATGATTGTTGACAATAACACCCATCAACATCCCATTTAATATTCACAAGAAGCAATAGATTTCTAAGCACAGGAAAATGTGTTACAAATAGTTACTTAACATAAGCTGATGTCTTTTATTCTAGATCAGTGGTTCGAAACCTTCCTAATGCTGTGACCCTTTAATATAGGTCCACATATTGTGATGACGTCCAACCATAAAGTTTATTTTGTTGCTACTTCATCACTGTAATTTTGCTACCATTACGAATCATAATGTAAATATCTCATATGCATGATATCTGACATTCAACCTCTGTGAAAGGGTCATTCAACCCCCAAAGGGGTCTCAACTCACAGATGAAGTATGCTGTTTTAGTTATTGCTAAGTTCTCTCGGTGTAGAACAGCTGTGGATTATCCCACAAACTATATTCTAGCATCAATAGGTCACATCTGTGATGTCAAAAACAAATGATCCTCTTTTAAAGGAACACACTAATATGTGAGGCTGATGGAAGTCACTGGGGCAGAGAATACTAAGAGGATGTTACCTCTGAAAGCACAAAGCTCTCTGGGCCCCTTCCAGGAATGCTATTCAGAGCACCAGACTTGGGTGGTCAGTACCTACTGGGTGTCACCTCAGTCACTTAGGACAGAACCCACAAGCATCTTAAGGGTGAGCTCCTCAGTGTCAGCGGCACTCTCTTACAAGCCCTCACTATCAAGAAGGTCATCAAGAAGTGACTGTTTTCTGAAATGCTCAATCCTTGACCTGCCTTCAAAAGGAAATGTGGGGAACACAGTCAACTCTCCTGAAAGCACAGTTGTTGAATAATATATATATATATATATATATATATATATATATATTGAGAAAAATATATAAATTCCAACAACCAATATTCCCAGAAACACTGACCCTCTCTGGTCTTGTACTGGACTCTGGGGGAACACAAAGACTTTTGTGAACACTTCAAAGCTGCTGGTGGAGTCAACAAGTATTCTGGGAAAATGCCGAGTTGAAATTCTTCTCTTGACTTCATACCAGGGTTGGCCTCCAGCCACAAAGCAGACCAGTAAATTCCCATAGGACTCAGACACCAGGCAAAGTGCTGGATGACCAGACACCACTTATTCCCCTGTGAGCTTCCATTCCCCCACAGGACCACTGAGAGGCAACTGTTTCCTTGACAAGATCAAGTGAAGCCTATTTCCAAAGTTGTTAAAGTGTGTGTCCATGTGATATGTGCACACCAGCCTACTGCTTGGCACCCAGAAATCAAAGAACTACTCAGAGGCAATGGAATGAAGAGAACTTTAATTTGAACATTGTCAAATCCGGGGTTGGGGGTGTCACTCAGGTATGTAGGTGTAGGTCCCCAGGTTCAGTCCCCCAGATCACTGTGAGGAAAAAAAAGTCAAATCATGTCAGACACTTACTAGATGACTGATTTTGCCAGAAGTTTGGGAGCTAACAGAGTACAATTAGGAGAAAGAAGAGAGTGGCTTCCACTGGACCCTGTAAGTGATTTTTTCATTATGGACACACACATCTGTGTTTGCTTGTATTTTTCACTGTTTTGATTTTTTTTAACATATGAAGATCCTTGTGGTGGTCTTTGTTTATCTCATGC